TTTGGCACTCACGGCATTCCATTCTCACGGTTTCCCTACCTGCCCAAAGAAAGGGATTCCAGGTTTGTAGTGGGAGTCTGAATGCTCAAAGGTGATCTTGCTAATGGTGGCTGTGATCTCGGAGAAGCCTGTTCCAGTCAACTCCACTCCTGCAGGAAGAAGCACGAAAAATTAATTTGGCTCTCCCTGACCAGAATTACTTTTATTCCAGGCCAACCCTCCTTTGCTGAACAAGAAGTTTTGTTGACGCTCCCCAGGTAGGAAAACTTGAGGATGCCAGAAAAGCAAGAGTCTGCTTTTCTCCCTCGTTCCTACTTGGCAGGCCCCTCTGCTGGTCTCTCCTGGGCTTATTACATGGCTCTTCGATCCAGATGATTCCTACCTGTCTCCTCCTCTTTAATTTTAGCCTCCACATGGAGTTTATTCTCATATCTACTTCTCTTGAGCTGGAATAACTTGGTCTTTACCATTTCAGAAACACAGCCATAGTTGTCTGTCTGTTGGAGGAAAGCAAACAAGACCATTATAGTCTCATTTATATAATGTTGATCCAACTTAATGAATTAATCACCGTGCATTGCTCTGAACTGGAAGAGAAGCCCATAACCTCACAAATCATTCCCTCTGTTGTTTTTTTCAAAACTAGAAAAGCATGTAAATAACTTGGCAAGGAGTGTTTTTAAGTACTTGCAGCAACATCAGAGCAACAGTTTCCAACCTAGAAGATTTTTGTGTATGTGTGTGTGAAGTACGAAATTCTGAACACTTGATACAGAAGCACAGGGAATTATTCAAGCACATGTCACAGGAATTGTTTGCCAGGCATCAGGCACATCAGAACGTGGCTGCTGACTTAAAATGCACGTCATATGAGCGATACGTAAACCAAAGCCTGTGTATCTGTAGAAAGAAGAGGACAGCTGGAAAAGTATTTCCAAAGCTTGCCACCTCTCTTCAGCATCTTCAGGTACAAGGCAGGCCTCCACAGAAAAGGGAAGAGATGCCTGGAACAGAGGCTAGCACCGCAGTGTTCATATTTTTTTTTAGCACGGACAACAGCGGTGGCAGAAGCACTGTGGGGATTACACTGTAGCAGACCCCAAGGACCATAAGTGTCTCCTGATTGCTTTCTTGTCCTGGCATATTTCCACAACTGCTGTTACCCCAGCTCCTGTCAGTTACGCTAGCACTGTTGCACCTGTCCACACTCCAAAAACTATCCAGTTTTGCTCTTGCAGGCTTGCCAGTCTGAAGAGTGAAAAAAGTGGGTTTTTTTTTCTGTCTTAACCACAGCTGCTAAATCCATGTTCCTTTCCTTCTTGCTCAAACTGCATCACCCCTCCCCTGGTTTCAGCTCCCTTCTTGCTTCTAACACTGACTTCTGATCCCACAGACTCTAGAGTAAGCCAACTCCAACTCTGCTCTCATCGCTCACGCCTTTTCTATCTCACTTGTCTCTTGTACTCTCTACACTCCATCTGACCTCTTTTTTGGTGTTTCTTTCATCTCTTCCTTCTCCAGCAGCTTCTTGCCTTTACATACATCGTCCTGCACAGACCTTCCCCCTATTTTTACCTTCCACATTTCATTTTACACCCAATCTTCTCTCCTCCTTCAGGCTTCCTTAAAATAAATGGAGTCTCTCTCCTCTTCACAGTCCTGCTTGTACATACTCCGTCAGAGCAAGCCTGTGCCAACAAGGTGTGCTCCACAAACCAGTTTCTCCTGTCACTCTACCCACAGGAGTAACCACGACTCACTTGTCCAGAGAACTCGTCGCACACTGCCTTAGCCTCTTCACCATAGCAGGCGACGGCTTCACGTTCAAAGTTCCGGCAGACACGGAAGCTCACGGAGCCAGGAACCGGCTTCCCAAACGTGTATCTACCAGCAGGGATGATTGAAAGAAAAATAGAGCTGTTAGGAACGAAAGAGGGCTGAAGAAAAATGACTAGCTCACCCCCAGTGGAGCCAGGGCTCCTCCCTAGAGCTGCCTCCAGGATACTGCAGGGTCATCACAGGAAATAGAAAGAAATTTGGTAACGTTTTAGGATCAAACTTGGCAACGGGGGCAGGAGTACTGAATCTTACAGTCCTTATTGCATCCCTAGGAATAACACATAATTCTGCAGAAATCATTTAGCTAATGCTGATTTAGTTGAGAGTACCCCTCACCTTGGAGAACCATGTTGCATCTACCCCACCACCCACTTCCAGTGGAACTGGTTTGTCTATGCATATGCTGTGGGTCTTTTGGCTTGTTCTTCAGCCCGAGTCGTGGCTCTCCCTGCAGGATGCACGGAACACGCCATGCGGATTCGAATGAGGGTGCCCAAAGGAAAGAGGGCAGCTGCATCACTTAGGGCTTTCTCTCAGCAATGACAAGCAGAAGCCACAGTGAGAACATCATTCCCAGGCAAAGAAAACTGAAGACCTCTTCCGTAGCACTGCAGCTGGTCTTAAATCCTCTACAACTCAAAAAATTTGAAAAAAAAAACCCAAACAAAAAACTCCCCCAAACCAGAACAATATGTTTGTACATGTTACATACAAAGTGCCCCAAGCAATAATTGTTGCCTTTTGTCTAATGGTAAATGTAGTCTGTTTGGTCCTGGGACCCCAAAATTATTTAGAAATATAATGAAGATTCCTGTCTCAGTCCCTCAACTGTACTTGCAGCAGCTGAAGAAAAACCTGAAACCAAGAAGGACTTGAAAGAATGACACTCACAGACCACAGACTGTCACCTTCACCTTCTCGTCAAGAATGGTGATCACCTTGGGCATTTTCACTGTGACTTCGAATTTTGGCAGCACTGCAGCAGAATCAAAGGAAAACAGTCTAAGTGGTGGGGAATAAGGCAAGAATGAGACAGGAGAGCTGCTCAAAGGCTACTCTTACAAATGTCCTGAAACCCTTTCGCATCTAAAAGGTCAGACTTTAGAGGCTTCTGTCACCTGCACATCCCACTGAAGGCAGAGAAAACCACAGGTACTCGGCCAACCACTGTGCCAGGTAAGAAGACAGGATTTTTACACCAGCTATTAAAACACAGCAGCTTCTCAGATGACACACAGGTTACCGGTCCCACAGCAGGACACAGCAAAATAGAGCGCTAAGTCAACAGAGGTCTCCCACAAACACAGAGCTGGGCCTCAGGCAGGGGACACCCGGGCTCACAGCGTGACACTCAGCAGGCGTGTAGCCAACTGGAGATGAGGCTGTGGCCTTAAGTCGCCTCTGAAAGGAGGTGAGGCTTGTGGACAGGCTGGTCCAAGCACACTTGTTCCTCCTGATAGGAGCCTTCCTGAGGTGGGCAGTCAGAAGAGCTGCACAGCATGGCCTGGGGCTAAGGGAGGAGTGGAGACAGGTCGCTCAAGTCCTTCAGAAAGAGATGATGCTTGGGAGGGAGAGGACACAGAGACTTCTTTTCCAGCCATGCCGGACACCCTGGTCAGATCTACCACCCTGTTCAGTTAAGCTTTCGTGCCCCACGGGACTAGCTGTTAGGAACTGGAAACTGCAGTGACGGTTACCATACTCCTCCACAGAGAAAGGATGCCGAATTGTCTTCCCAGCGGCCTTCTGTGCCACCACTGTGTAGGTCCCTTGCATAGGTTCAGAGGAGAGGTTGAAGAACAGCTGGATTAGCCCCCCCTCTAACTCTGCCTTTGTCCACTGGTACAGGCGGTTTTTCTTTGGGTCCTACAGACAATAAGACCACAAGGAGACTATGAGGACAGTGGGAGTCTGCAATGAGAGCTACAAAGCACCAGCAGAAGCAGTGAGGGGAGCCCAGGGCTGCACAGTGGCAGGACCTGTAAGCCGGGCTCAGAGTATATCGTTGCCACCATATGAGCTAAAGCTCTGTATATACAAATTAATGTTATGGACCTGCTTAATAAATTAATGTTATGGACCTGCTTAATAAAT